GTGCTGTGGGCTGTGGGCTGTGGGCTCTGGGCTGTGTGCTGTGGGCAGTGGGCTCTGCTGTGGGCTGTGTCTGTGTGTCTCTCTGCGAAGGTGGAGGGCGGCTGCTGCTAACGCTGTTCTCTCACTCTCACTCCCTCCCTCTTCTCTGTCGCTGGCTCAGTGGTTAATCAGAGACTCAGTTCCTTGCTGCTCCTATCAGTGTGAGAGGATGTTTAATTCCTGCCGCTGTCCTGGAGAGCTCACAGGTACCCCACTCGTCTCTCTCTCCACCCCCATCCCTCCCCCCCTCCCTCCCTGTGTCCCCGTGCCTCTCTGTCGCTGTGTCCGGCACCCCCACTAGACCGGGACGCTGTGGACAGTAAGACTCATGCTGGGGGTCTCTGCAGGACACCCAGGAGTCCGTCTCCGTCTCATGTTAGATCTGCCCCTCCTTGCTCTCCGAAGGGGTCTCCTCTACGCGTGGGGGTCTCCTGTCCCCAGACAGCGTCCCTCCCTGCTCCTCATCGACAGGGATCCAGAGGTCTTTCTCATACTGGGGGTCCCCCGCCTGTACTGGGCGCCCCTGACCTGCTTTGACCTGCTTTGCCCTGTTCTTCTCTTGGGGGTGCAACAGCACCTCAGTCCTCACAGCCCCCCCTCACCCACAATCCTTCGCTCCTTTGCACACCAGCACCTGGACTCAGGGTCCGAATTCCCACTTGTGCCTTCTCCCACATTCCCAAGTAGGGAATCCTGTGTTTGTCTTGGATAATCTGCAAATTCAGAGGCTTCACAGCACATCATGGTGGAATTATATAGGTCTCTGGACTGTAGGGGTACAGTGTGACCCAGACTGGACCAGTGACCTCTAGACTGTGGGGGTACAGTGTGACCCAGACTGGACCGGCGATCTCTGGACTGTGGGGGTACAGTGTGACCCAGACTGGACCGGCGATCTCTGGACTGTAGGGGTACAGTGTGACCCAGACTGGACCGGTGAGCTTTTGTCTGTTGTCTTTGCCGAGCCTTGATTGTAAGAATTGTGTACACCTCCATCCCACCCTGTGACAGTGAAATGAGTTTCTCCTTCTTGGTTCTGTGGTTAAAACTAACTGGGATTTACTCCGTGTCTTTCTGCACAAGCCCCATTGTCTCTGTCAGCTGCGCTCCTCTCTTCCTGTAGTGTGACCGTACTGTAGAGCCCAGTCTTGTCTGTCTGTACACTCCTCTCTCCCCATCATTCTCCACCTCTTCTGGCCCGCTCACTCACTCTTCCCTTCCTCTGTTTCTGCCTCGCCCCCAGACTCCCTCCAGCATTGGCAGGACAGTGACCACGTGGCAGTTTTCCACAGGGGGCGCTATTTCCGGCTGTGGTTGTACCAGGCAGGACGCCTCCTCTCTCCGCGGGAAATCCAGAGCCAGATACAGAAGATCCTAGATGACCCCTCGCCCCCCCAGCCTGGTGAGGAGAAACTGGGGGCCCTGACTGCTGGAGACAGGTACTGCCTCACCTGACACAGGCACTG